GGTTCCAGGCTGGCAGCCGTTGCTGGCGCGGCGAGGGCGGATGCTTCCCTGGGGGTCCGGCACCTGTCCCCCCCCGCTCGCGGGGGCTGCTCTAACGGGGGTGCCAGGAAGACCTGAAAGCTTGCGCTGCAGCCAGCTTCCCGGAGCATCCTCGCTCTGCTCCCCGTCGAGCCCCCGGGGTGCTGCCCAGGGGGCTGGGACCCCTGTGTGCCCACTTTCTCATAGCAGCGCCCCCCCGTGAAGCTGTCGAAGGGCCCCTGTGGTGCCAGCAGGGTGGCAGCAGCTGCCCTTCATCTTCCTTGGGAACCCCAGCATCTGACCGGGAGGATGCACCGGGCCACGCCGTGGCTGGGGCCGCTCGGTTTTGGAGCAGGCGCACCACGATATATATAAACTTCCTAATTCTGTTTCACTCCCACAGACTGGGAAGGTCTTGTCCAGGGGGGACAGGGAAAGTCTTCACACTCTTCTCTGGGGAAAAAAAACATGATGAATGAACTGAATAACAAATAATTTAGCATAGACTACCAAACAATTGTTATATATAGCTGCTCAAGGTGTGCCAGGAGGCTTATAGCTAAAATCCCACGGGTGATACATTTTACCCTTTGCGTAAGCTTAGTTGGAAGGTGAGAATATATGCTTCGCATTCCTTATCTGTCCAGTGGGATTTGTGTCTGTTCAGAACGACAGCTGTAGATACTTTCTTTACAATTCTGTAGGGATGCTGAAGAGCTGTAGACCCTCATACACAAAAAGCTTTCACAGGGACTGTCACCTTGAGACATTTGCCTAAATGTTCTGCCTAATTCTGTTTAAAGTCCTTCCTTGTATTTAGTTCTAAGCCCATGAGAATAAAGTTTCATTCCTGGAGGGTTTTTGTCTTAGGAAATGCCACATCTAGTTTAGCAAGTTTTTAGGAGACTGTCCTTCAGGTTCAAAAGCCATCCCATTGTCACTCTTGGATATCTGTATCCTAAAGGGTTCCTGTCCACTAGCTCAGCATTAGTCTCCCTTATCTTAATGAGGCCAGTGCTGTGGCAGGTGATGGTAATTGTGTTAATTAAGAAATTGGGTCTGTTCTGTGTGGGTTTTAGACCCGGTCCTCAGCTGCATCCAAGTTGGAGTGGTTTGAGTTTGGACAACAGTGGCTTGCAACAGCTTAATCCCCTAATTATGGTAGTAGCAGCACAAAGGCATCGTTAACCAAATTAAAACAAGCTGACAGACAGCTCTCCTTGGTCGGGAGGAGCAGAGCGAGCCGTGGCCCAGATCCCTGGCCGAGCTGCCGACCCCAGCGTGTGACGTGGCAGAGGTGTCCCCCATGGCGGG